ATTTTCTGCGATTGGTATGATGGGGCAAGAAGCCCAATGTTCTCATCATTGTGCGGAATATTTCTTACAGCAACACACAGCCCTAACACACACCACAGCCTCAACACACACACACAGCCTCAACACACACACACACAGCCTCACACACACACACAGCCTCACACACACACACACACACACACACAGCCTCTCACACACACACACACAGCCTCTCACACACACACAGCCTCACACAGTCTCACACACACACACAGGAGAGGCGCGGACCGTCTGCAGTTCCCGCGGAGAGTGCTGTGGGCAGTGAGTGCGGAGAGTCGGGCGGGGAATGTGACTGTGTTCCCACTGCACTGTGTTTGTCAGCAGCGGCCACGCGGGGCAGACGGACACGGCGCGGGGCAGACGGACACGGCGCGGGGCAGACGGACACGGCGCGGGGCAGACGGACACGGCGCGGGGCAGACGGACACGGCGCGGGGCAGACGGACACGGCGCGGGGCAGACGGACACGGCGCGGGGCAGACGGACACGGCGCGGGGCTGCCCACAGTCCGGCCGACAGCGCACACCGCGGGGACGGGGACGAGCGGCCGCTCACACGGTGGGCAGTGATGTGCGAGGAGGAGGCCGGAGTGTCCGGACTGCTGACCGGATCCCCCAGGCGGCGGCTGCCCAGGGTCAGGGTGGGCAGGAACCCCAGCAGCCGCTCCGTGCAGTGAGTACTGACCGCCAGCTGGGCACCCCCCCCCTCACCCCCCCCCTCACACCCCCTCACACACACCCTCACACACACCTCCACACACCCTCACCCCCTCCAACCCCCTCACACACCCCCTCACACACCCCCTCACACACCCTCACACACCCTCACCCCCTCACACACCCCCTCACACCCTCACACACCCACCCCTCACACACCCTCACACACCCTCACACACCCTCACACACCCTCACACACCCTCACACACCCTCACCCCCTCACACACCCCTCACACACACCCTCACACACCCCCTCACACACCTTCGCACACCCCTCACACACACCCTCACACACACCCCACCCCCCACCCCTCAACCCCCCTCACACACACCCTCACACACATCCTCACACCCTCACACACCCCCTCACACACCCTCACACACATCCTCACACCCACCCTCACACACCCCTCACACACCCCTCACACCCCCTCACACACCCCTCACACACCCTCACACACCCCACCCCCTCACACACACCCTCACACACCCCCTCACACCCCCTCACACACCCTCACACACCCCCTCACACACATCCTCACACCCCACCCCCTCACACACCCCTCACACCCCCTCACACACCCCACCCTCACACACCCCCTCACACACCCCCACACACCCCCCCCTCACACACCCTCACACACCCCCTCACAACCCCCCTCACACACACCCTCACACACCCCCTCACACACCCCCTCACACACATCCTCACACCCACACCCCCTCACACACCCCCTCACACACCTCACCCCCCTTCTCACACACACACCTCACACACACCCTCACACCCCCCTCACACACACCCTCACATCCCCCTCACACACACTCACCCCCCCTCTCACACACACCCTCACCCCCCCATCACACACACCCTCACACACACCCTCACACACGCACACACACACAGCCTCTCTCACACACACACACAGCCTCTCTCACACACCCTCACGCACACCCTCACACACACGCACACACACAGCCTCTCTCTCACACAAACCCTCACACACACACACACCCTCACATACACCCTCACACATCCTCACACACTCTTCCTCACACACACACACACCCTCACCCCCCCCACACACACCCTCACACACACGCACACACACACAGCCTCTCTCACACACACACACACACACACACAGCCTCTCTCACACACACCGCCTCCCTCAATCACACACACACACACACACTAGTGATGGAAAGTTCCAGGGCAGAAGCTCAGAGAGAGAGGGAGAAGGGGAAACGAGAATTGAGTGAGATGGAGTAACATAAACAAGAGAAATAATGTTAAAATTGCCCCCAACTTTTTCCTGTGGCATTGCTTCATGTTTGGGAGAGGGTGGAGCTGGGATGCTGTGGAGTTGAGATGTGGATGGGATGGGAGAGGGAATGTTGTCTCCTGGTTGTGTGTTTACCAGGTGCAGGTGGCTGGGGTCAGATACCAGCTGCTGTAAACTGGCCACAACACCGAATCATTAACCAGCATCACAGCGCCCGGCCTCTCTGTGTCTCGGGCTGATCGTTTGTTACTCCTTTTTAAGTACTCTTTGGGTGGGTGTGAGATCAGGACAGAAGGCGGGTGGCGCTGGGGGAAATTCTCACGATTCTGTCTCTGTGAAGCATGCTCCCCTGCCCGGTTGCTGTCTGACCTTCCCCCACGCCCGCTGCTCTCTCTCTCTCTCTCTCTCTCTCGCTCAGGTGTGTTGCTTATTTCCTCATCTCTATCTAGTTTGACAAGTTCAGGGGCACCCTACAGTGCAGCTGTTTCTTAGAGAGGTTTTATGAAGAGCTTTGGGGCGTTGCTGTCGCCTGATGTCAGAGCGACCATCAGTGTGTAGCCGGCCAGTATCTGTCCCTTCCGTCATGGTGAGCTGTGCGGGGCCGGGGGCCTTGGTGCTGGTCAGGCCGCTGGTCCTGCCTCTCTCTCCTGGCACTGAGCTTCTGGGGGTGAGAGGTCACTGGTAACCGGCCCCTTCTGCCCTTCCCCTCTTACTGCCCGAGCCGGTGCCAGTCAGTAACAGCTGCTCTGCCTGATGTCTCTCCCAGGTCCAGCTCCTCGGACACCACGGTGAAATCCAGTGAGGGCACGGTGGTCCGGCAGCCAGCCAGGAACAAGATCAAGCGGCACAACAGGGGTCTGGTGATGGTATTCAGGGGCCGCAGCGTGAAGGATGAGCAGTCGGGAGATGAGGGTGGGGGGGAGGCAGCCTCGGATGATCCAGCTGAACTCTCCACGCAGGTCACAGCCCCCGGTGTGCTCAAGATCTTCGGTGGCGAAATCTGTGATGGGGCCAATTACAAGAGCGTATTAGCCACGCCACGATCCAGCGCCCATGAGCTGGTCAAGGAAGCGCTGGAGAGGTCAGTGCCACACTGCGCTGGGCTCGGAGACAGTAGGGGGCTGCAGTCACCTTTGATCCAATCTGCGATGTCGCTCAGTGCAGACAGGGTGTTTCTGGGCACACAAGCTCCTCATACAGATCAGCAGGTTGACATGATCAGCATGTGGCATGTGTGGGGCACGTGGCATGTCCTTGATGTGTGCGGGGCGTGTGGGGGATGTGTGTCTTGTGCGAAGCGTTTGCCGTGTCCTGGGCATGTGGGGGTTGTGTGTCTTGTGTAGGACGTTTGGCGTGTCCTGGGCATGTGCAGGGCATGTCCTGGGGTATGGTAGACGTTTAGTGTGTCCTGGGCATGTGCAATGGTGTGTGGGGAGTGCACGGAGCCGGTTGTGACCATCTGACCAACAGGTACTCGCTGGACAAGGGCCGGGCTGGGGAGTTTGTGCTGTGTGATGTGATCGGGAAGCTGGACGGTGAGCACCAGTGGAGGCCGGAGTGCCTGCGGGCGGTGGGGGACGGGGAGAAGCCCCTCACACTGCAGGCCCTGTGGAAACCCAAGGAAGGCTTCGCTCGGCGTTTCGAGCTGCGGTGCCGAGCGGCCATGGAGGAGATGGCGGCCAGAGAGAGAGACACCGTCACCGCAGGTACCAGCGGGGGCTGGCGGGGGGATTGGGGGGCAGAGTGGCAGGAGGACCCAATGCTGAGTTAGAATTTGTCACTCGCTGGCTTACAGCTACTCATCCTGCCTACCTCCCTCTCTCACTCACTTTCTCACTCTCCATCACTCTGTCTCTCTTACTCTCCCTCAGTCTCTTTTACTCTCTCCCTCTCTTTGTCAACAACAACAAATGTCATTTACGCAGCGCCTTTCATGTCAGGAGGACGTCCCAAGGCCTTGGACAGTCAAGGATTTGCACCCAAGCTGGGGGTTGTGATCAGGGTGTTGGAGAGCAGGGAGTATGGGGTCCCTCTCTCTCCCTCTCTCCCTCACTCTCTCCCTCCACCTGTTTGCCACAGGGATTAACGCTCAGGCTCGGAAGATGCAGGTGACGCGATCGCGAGCATCCTCGGCGCTGATGGGTGAGGAGATGGAGTGGGGGGCTGCGATTTGGCGCACGCTCAGCGACTCCACTCTGGGCACTGAAACCCGTGAGCACAAGAGCCACAGTGTGGGGGTTCAGGAGGACAGAGATCCCCCGTGTCTGGGGTTGGAGAAGGAGGAGACGGAGAGCAGCGATGACATTGCCACCCTGTACTCGGTCAGACCCCCAATCGAGTTCCCCTACTTCCTGCTGCTCCAGGGCTACTGTGACAGGCAGGTGAGTCAGACTGAGGGACTGGGGGAGAGAGGGAGGGGAGGGAGAATGAGGGAGTAAGTGAGAGGGAGAGAGGTAGAGATGGAGTGAGAGAGGGAAGCAGTGAGGGAGGGAGGGAGGGAGTGAGGGAAAGCGAGTGAAATGGAGGGAGGGAGTGAGGGAATGACTAACAATGTGCCACTCTGTTGCAGGACTATGTTATCTATACGATGAGTGGAACAGTGCACATCTTTGGACGCAACACGGAACATTCCGGAGAGCGAGAAGAGCGGGTGAAGGTGGACATGCTTCTGTCGGCCCCAGACATCCTGCCCCGGCATTGCCGTGTGCAGCGCTGCGAGGCCGGTGGAGGCCAGGAGCCCAGGAACGGAGTGACGCTGGTGTGGCCAGGGAAGGGAGCGCTGGTCACACACAATGGCCGACCTCTCAGCAGGGAGACCGAGCTGCAGCCGGGAGACCTGCTGGGCCTCGGAGCCTGTTACCTGCTTATGTACAAGGATCCCACACGGCCCGGCTCCAGCCACAAACCCTCCTGGTTCCCGGGGTTGGCAGCATGCCCGGACGCCGGGGGAGGCAGGTGCCGGGTGTGCGGTCTGGAGCTTCCGGATCCCGGCACAGAACGGGCGAGGCTGCGGGGCAGGGAGGCCGTGCCCAGTCTCCACGCACCGGACGGTCGCCAGCTGCGGCTTTGTTACCAGCTGCCACAGGAGCCCCGGCTCCTCGGCAAGATCCTCGACCTGGCCGGGTGGAGCAGCCACAGCACACTCGCCCCCGCCTTCCTCCTTTGTCTCGCCATCCAGCACTCAGCCAGCACCTTCTCCCTCGCAGATTTCCGGAAACTTCTGCTGAGTATAGCGAGCCATATCCAGACCATGATGTGGGTAAGGACATAGTTACTCGTAGTGTCACTGGCTCTTCCCCCGACCCCGCCTCCCCTACCAGCCTTGCCTCCCCCCAGTCCCTGCCACCTCCCCATCATCCTCACCTTCATCAGCCCCACCTCCACCAGCTCCCCCAGCCCATCAACTTCAACATCTTTGTTATGACCAAATCCTGCCAATTGCCTTTCTCCTCACCCTCACGTTCCCCTCCCTCTCTCTATTATAGTGTGTGTGAACCTGCCCTGTGCCTTCAGTTCCCCCATCACGTCCTGTTCCTGTTGTGAGTTTGTGTGGGTGCCTGGCCAACATTAATCATTTCCTCCCTTCATGGATGTCTGTGGAACGTTTATTGCCACAAACTGGGAGCGATGTCTGCCTAGAGAACACACTCACTATAATAATAATCTGTGCAGTTGGTACAACGCTTTTCACACCAGGAGGACGTATCCAACCTATCCAATCAACCTCCCTACTTGTCCAACCTGCTTAACCCCCACTCCACTATCCGCTGCCTCCGCTCAGCTGGCTGGCTCCGGCCTACTGTTCATCCCTTGTGCCCTCTGTTCCACCATCGGTGGCCGTGCCTTCAGCCACTATGCTTCAAAACTCTGGAACTCTCTCCCTCAATCTCTCTGCCTTCCCTTTTGATCGTACTTATGGTCATGTCCCCCTTCCCTCTGGCTCGGGGTCAGACTCTGCCACTCCGTCAAGCGCTCTGGGACACTACCTCGCATGAAAGGTGCAGGTCATCATTGTTGTATCAAAGTGCTTCACAGTATTGCCTATAAAGTGCAGGAACGCTGTGCATTTGTAGATGAGCGTGGCAAACAATCTGCAGCCCCGTCCCTCCACTAGGACAGCCATTAGCGAGCGTCGCCATCCACTACTTCTCTTTCTGTTCACAGGATAAGACGCAGGAGCTAGCGGCGAGACAGGCAGAGAGGTACGTGCACTGTGACACCTCACCTCCACCACGCGCCCTCCAGCTCAGGGTAGCAGCAGAACCCTGGCTGGTTCCCCCCCATATCATAGGTTACACTGAGGGTCCTTCAGTCCTTTCCCCCCCATCCCTCACCTTCTGGCACTGCGAGTGGCCTTTCCTCCTGTGTGAGTGTGACAGTGAGTGTTGGGTGGGGGGCAGGGGTGGGTTTTCAGGCTCTTGTGGCCTTGCTGAGCTGTGTGTGTGTGAGTCAGAGATTGGGATCAGGGGAATGACCAACATTACTGTTGGTGTTTCCCACCCAGTGAGCAGCGGGATTGTCAGGATTGTCTGGAGCCGAACATCGCCGAGCTGATTCCGGGGCTGCAGCCCCTCGTGTACTGGATGTCAAACTCCGTGGAGCTGCTTCACTTCATCCAACAGGAGGTTCCCAGGCTCCTCGGCTGGGAGCAGCAGCTGGAGGAGCTGGGTGAGTGGAGACAGCGGGCACAGCACACCTGGGCAAGGCGCACCTGGGCATGGCACAACTGGCACCTTTAAGAAACAGCTGATGTGATAACGGTTGTCTTCGGCGCTGACCCCCTGCCCTGTGTTCACAGGCGGCCACAGCCCACAGCTGGTGAGCACTCGGGCAGCCAGTGAGGAGGCCATGACTGTCCTGGAGGAGGTTATCATGTTCACCTTCCAGCAATCCGTCTACTACCTGACCAAGGTCAGTACCTGCTCGCACTCACCTGCTCATGCTCACCTGTTCACACTCACACTTGCCCACACACATTTCCTGCTGCGGAGATCATTCACTCCGCTCACACCCTGAATAGCTGGCAGGGCTAAAGTCGGGCAATCCACCCACCTGTGAACACAAACATTTTACTGAAGTGTGGGCAGGTTCCCCTGCTCTCGCGGGGGAGAATGGCTGCACTAACAACATATTTGTACATCCAATACTTGGAATCCACCTTGACTGGCCTACAGAGAGGCAAGTGGCGCCTGCTTAAACTCCGCACCTCCAATTGGTGGGACCATCGCTCAATGGGAAGGGACCTGTACTCGAGCTGCGGACATGAAGACGGTGGCAATGCTCTCATGCTTTTCTTGCTGAGCTGTGTTGCCCATCTGGTTCCTGCCATCCACCGCGTGAGGCTCAAACATGTGCCTGTCGGATGTCAAATGACGAACTGGTGACTATCCTCCTTTGCGGGGAGATAACCGGGGTCTACTAGGACTGATTCCAAGGTGATGTGCCTGGCAATGGAATGTCGGAATCGAGCCAGCCCTCCAGGTTGGTATCTAGTCCGGTTCCTGAGCCAGGTGGGTCCGCAGTTCACTGCTGATGACAGCACAGCCAACTGCTTAGAGCAGTCACTGGGGACGGAGTCATCCCACTCAGCTCTTGTCAAGCCTGCAGCCAAAGCCCTAATGGTAGGATGGTCCTAGCTGGACAAGCAGCGAGAAAGCTTACCGGACAGCAAGATCAATGGCAAGCTATGTGGTTTTAGCTGGTTAGACTCCAGCAGTTACCCCAATACACATTCTGGGCTCCCCCAAGCCTTGGCTCTTGCCAACCTGCGCCTAATACTCTGCGGAATTAGTTAAGCAGGATGAGTCCTTCCAGGGGGAGAGAGAGTGAGAGTGAGTGAGCGAGAGAGAGAGTGCATTCCATTCCAACAATGTATCTCTGGGATTTCCATGTGTCGGTGGGATGTGTGGAATTCTCAGCTTGGTTTGGAGACTCTTAAGCAGGTGATGGGTTTCTGTATGTGCCAGACACCCGTCTGAGCAAAACAAACCCTGAGGAGATTGAAACTTTCTGTCTGAATTGGTCTCATCTTCAGTGAGCAGAAGCCACCCTCTAACACTAGACTGCCCTGTCTAACACAACCACCCTGTCTAACAGCAGTCATCCTGTCTAACAGCAGCTGCCCTGTCTAACACAACCACCCTGTCTAACAGCAGTCATCCTGTCTAACAGCAGCTGCCCTGTCTAACACAACCACCCTGTCTAACAGCAGCCGCCCTGTCTAACACAACCACCCTGTCTTACAGCAGTCATCCTGTCTAACAGCAGCCGCCCTGTCTAACAGCAGCTGCCCTGTCTAACAGCAGCCGCCCTGTCTAACACAACCACCCTGTCTAACAGCAGTCATCCTGTCTAACAGCAGCCGCCCTGTCTAACAGCAGCTGCCCTGTCTAACACAACCACCCTGTCTAACACAACCACCCTGTCTAACAGCAGCCGCCCTGTCTAACACAACCACCCTGTCTAACAGCAGTCATCCTGTCTAACAGCAGCCGCCCTGTCTAACAGCAGCTGCCCTGTCTAACACAACCACCCTGTCTAACACAACCACCCTGTCTAACAGCAGCCGCCCTGTCTAACACAACCACCCTGTCTAACAGCAGTCATCCTGTCTAACAGCAGCCGCCCTGTCTAACACAACCACCCTGTCTAACAGCAGCCGCCCTGTCTAACAGCAGCCGCCCTGTCTAACAGCAACCGTCCTGTCTAACAGCAACCGCCCTGTCTAACAGCAACCGCCCTGTCTAACAGCAACCGCCCTGTCTAACAGCAGCCGCCCTGTCTAACAGCAGCCGCCCTGTCTAACAGCAGCCGCCCTGTCTAACAGCAGCCGCCCTGTCTAACAGCAGCCGCCCTGTCTAACAGCAGCCGCCCTGTCTAACAGCAGCCGCCCTGTCTAACAGCAGCCGCCCTGTCTAACAGCAGCCGCCCTGTCTAACAGCAGCCGCCCTGTCTAACAGCAGCCGCCCTGTCTAACAGCAGCCGCCCTGTCTAACACAACCACCCTGTCTAACAGCAGCTGCCCTGTCTAACACAACCACCCTGTCTAACAGCAGCCACCCCGGTGCACACAGGCTGACTGTGTGTATGACCGAGGTCAGTCAGTGCCTGTGGGACGGAGGTGTTGCCAGCTGTGTGTGAGTGGCCTCGTTCAGCTCCGACGCTGACTCAGGAACGGGATTGAGTCCCAGAAGCAGGAAAGGCCGTGGCTGAATGGGCAGGAAGCGGCTGAGATTTGAGTGCGAGATGAGGGGCCGCGGCAGTCAGATCAGGAAGCGGCTGCGTGGCTAGCGGACAGGCTGACATAACAGCTGCTTCCTGAGCAGGAAAAGGGAGGGAGCGAGGATGGCAGCTTCCACAGGGCCACTGTGATTTTCCGTAGGAGCTGGGGAGAGATCAGAGGTCAGCCTGGCAGCAATGACGTCAAGACTGTGAGGAGGGGTTCAGGGCGACTCTGGACTGCTGAGCCGTTTGTGCTCCCTGTTGTTTGTCAGCCCAAGTTCCTGTCTCACCTCACAGTCCAGGGTAGTGCTGGGGGAAGCGCTGCAGCGTGGCAGGCACTGTCGTCAGATGCAACATTAAACTGAGCTCCCCCTCTGTGCCCTGACCTGCAAATTGTCTGCCACAATTTGCCTACAAAATACACAGTTACTGCACTTTACAGTGAATCCTGTGAAGTGTTTTGTGACATTTTGATAAAACAATTGCTGTTTCAGATACAACGACAACAACAAATTTGCATTTATATATTCAATGTCTTTCCCGTTGGGAGGAAAAGGTGCTTAATAATCCTAGCCTGCTCCCAGGCCTGATTATTGTTGCTATTACTGTCTGGAAGCCTCTTGCCGGCAGCAGCAATCTCAGGCACTGGGCCGGGCTCTCAAACCATAAACACAGAGACAAAGGAGGTTGTGTGAGCACCAGCTCAGTGAATGGGCGGCTTGTAACCCTGTACTGGTCCCTCTACCTCCAAACCCAGGCTGTTTTCATTGAAAGAATGAAATGCTCGGAACGTGAAGCGAGGGTTTCAGTGGGGACGGAGTTACACCCACGGCAATGTTATTTCAACAAAACATTTGTAGAAAGTACCAGCAACATCCCAAACTGTGGCCTCCAGCCAGCCAGGCAGACGGGAGGGTATGGCTCAGCCCTGGTGTCCAGCTGTTTGAGTGAGTGCGTGTCATACCACACTCAGCACCGCTCAGCCCCTCGTGCCGTCCCCATGTGTTGTGAGACAGTCAGTTTGAGGGAGGTTTCGCACCCAGCCCACAAGATGTGATAGAGAGAGAGAGTGTTATCGTACATTGCTTCATGCTCCGGGTGCCAAAATTGTTGCTCTGGAGCCAACTCCAAGCTGATCTGCAACATTCCTAACATGCCAGATCTTTAACATTGATTTTCTACAAAAAGCATATGCAATTTGTGTCATAGTTATAAATACTGTCACATTGAGCAGAATGTCACTCTGTCTCTAACCATGACCTGTGAGTGTGGATGGACACTGTAGAGGGAGTCTCTAATCCGTGCTGTCATTGACCTGTAGATTTTAAATAGGAATCAATTCCCAGCATTGTGGTGAGCAGAACAATCATTTCCCTCAATAGAGATGTGACAATGAGATGACAATGGCTCACCTGCCTGTCTGTCTGTCTCCCTCCCTCTTCGCAGACGCTGTACACAGTGCTCCCCGGTTTGCTGGACAGTAATCCCTTTGCTGCGGGCTCCACACAGCTGACGGTGCCGGTGGGAGTTCAGAACGTGCTGGAGATCTTGCAGGAGACGCTGAAGCTGCTGAGCCAGTATCAGGTTCACTCAGACATCGCCTCTCAGCTCCTCGCCTACCTCTTCTTCTTCTCCAACGCTTCCCTGTTCAACACTCTCATGGAACGAGGCGAGTGTGACTGTGCTCCCCAAGACCTCAGCTCCAGCCGGGAGCTCACTGCCGGGGTGGGGAGGGTGGAGGGGGGGGGCGTTATTCTATATATATCGCCTCCCCTGCGTACACTAGGACTCACTGCCATTTCGCAAACAGATTGATTTGAAAATCCTCTCACCTCTCTCCTCCCCCCGGCTCAGCATTGTGCTCCGCATTTGTCAAGCGCTCTGGGACGCTACCCTGCATGAGGGGCACTGTGCAAATGCAAATTGTTGTTGTGTATGTGAGAGTCTCTGAGCTGTGGACTGAATGTGGGCTGCTGTGTGTGTGATTGTGGCACTGCTTCTCGGGCTACATTAATGAAAGTTGCTGTTGTTGTTGTACAGGCTCGGGTGGAGGATTCTACCAATGGACGAAAGGGGTGCAGATTCGGGCAAACCTGGACCTGCTGCTGGACTGGATTCAGGGCCTCGGGCTGGGGGATCTGGCTGCTGAATTCTTCCAGAAATTGTCGACAGCCGTCAATCTCCTGGCGACACCCAGAGAGAACCTTCTGCAGGTACCGCCCCAAAACTCCACCACCGCCCTCTCAGACCCTGCCCTTCCAGGACCCCTGCCCCATGGGCACCCCCATCTCAGACCCCTCCCCTATGGGGTACCACCACCTCAGACTACAGCCCCTCCCCAAACACCCCCAGGCACCTGACAGTCCACTCCAAGTTCAACTTTACCCTTAATTCATATTCTCTGCTAAAGCTAAAATAATAATCGTTGCCTTTTACGCAGCTACATTCCTGTGGGGACGTCACAAAGCGCCGCACAGGGTTTACTGTAAAGTGCACCCACTGTGAACACAGCAGCCAGTCTGCGCACAGAGACGTCCCATACATGGCTGTGAAGCGAGTGAGGAGAGGCCAAGCCCCTGCTGTGACTGACGCTCTCTATATCTCTCTCTCCTACCCTCCACCCCCAACCCTGCAGGCAAGCTGGAGGTCTCTGCGCAATGACTTTGCCAGTCTGAACCCGGCCCAGCTGCACCACATGATCAGGGAATACAACCCCGGCCGGCCCTGCCCCGCCATGTGGCAACCGGGGCCTGAGGAGCAGGAGGCAGCCATGAGGACAGGTGAGGTGGAGGGGGCGAGGGCAGGGGGGTGCGAGGGCAGGGGACTGGGACTGAGGGTAGGGGACGGGGTAGGGAGAGGGCAAGGGATGGGCGGGCGAGGGCGTGGGGTGAGGGCAAGGGAGAGGGGGCAAGGGCAACGCGTTAAGTGTCCAATCAGTGGAAGCGAGGTGCCCGAGGCTCTTGGGCTGAGTTTTTGTTTCTAATCCACAGCAAAGGTCAACTGATCCCAATAACATGATATCAGCAATGTTCCTGTTCTCCCAGCCACTTCCTGCTCTAACCCTCGCATTGCTTGACACCTGCACCCCCCTCTCTAACAGCCTGAGAGGAAGAGGCTTGGAATGAGGCGAGGTAACTGCTCGTTGCTTCCTGCATCTCCACTTCCTGTATCAGCTGCTGACCTCATATAGCTCTGCTCAATGCTGAATGGCAATAAAACACTGGCCTTGAGAGAAGACAAAATCTTTACATCTTTATCTCTAACAGCCTCAGCTGCTACTGCTGTAAACATTTTCTCATGTTACTGTTGATTCTGTTCGAGTTTGGCCTTGCTGGAGGCAAGACTTCTGAGCACAATTCTAAAGTGATGACAACTCGCTGACTCTTTCACGCTTCTACACTGTGCGTCCACATTCCCAGGTCAGGGTTAGACACAGTAAAGCTCCCTCTACACTAAACCGAATAAATCTTTCAGGCTATGAGGGGTTGAGGAAACTGATTGTATCCGTCACTCAGACATGGTGTAGCTGGAGGATAAATTGGTTTCTCTCAGTGGGAGGGAAGGTGTGTGTCATGCACTGTGTGTAGCTGGGGGTCAGCACTGCTCTCCCTGCTCCACAGCTGACATCCTGGAGAGTTTTGACAATCACCCGCCGCTGATCCTGCCAACCAGCACATTCCACTTTGCCCTGGACCAGCCCGTCGCTGATGCCCAGAGGCTGCAGTCCCCCCTCAGGGAGATTCAGGAGTTCCTGCAGGACACGACCTTGTGGGCAGCCCCAGATGGGACCCCCAACGAGAAGCCGCTACAGGTACTCCTCCAGCCTCGCCCCCTCCAGCCCCGTCTTGTATCAGCCCCGTTCCCACCAGCCCTGTCTCCGCTAGCCCAGCCCAATGTCAGCTCCGCCCTGTGTCAGCCCTGCCCTGCGATAGTTCCAGACTCACCCCCATCCTGTGCCAACCCCACCCTGAGGCAAACCTGCACCCACACTGCCCCAGCCCCGTGTGGACTCCACACACAACATGCGTGTATCACATCCAGAAAATGATGGCCCGTGAGAGCATGGCTGTGCGCCCCTCACAGCCCGTGTTGTTGAGCTGGGATCAGGGTGTATCGAGTGAGAGCTGCTCCAAAGAAGTGGGCCCAATACCCTTTCTTGATTGGCCTTCAACTATCCTTTCTACCCCACATTCGTGCCATGACCCGCTCTGCCTTCCCCCACGTCCGCAACATTGCCCGGCTCCGCCACTGTCTCACACCACAGGCTGCCAAGACCCTCATACATGCATTCATAACATCTAGGCTTGACTACACAAACTCCCTGCTTGTCGGGCTCCCCAACTCCTCACTCCATAGGCTGCAGATCATCCAGAACTCTGCAGAACTTTCCCACACCAGGCTCCGTGACCCTATACCCCCGTCCTCGCCACTGGCTCACCATCATACAGAGGATACAGTTCAAGATCCTGGTCCTCAGCTTCAAAGCCCTCGATGGCCTCGCTCCCCCCCTACCTCCGCAACCTTCTAACCCCCTACCATCCTGCTCGTTCCCTCCGCTCAGTGAGCTCCGGCCTGCTTCACATTCCCCATCTCGCCCGCCCCACATTGCCCCCAATCTCTGGAACACCATCCCACGGTCTCCCCACCTCACACCCCCACCCTCGCCTCCTTCAAGACCCGTCTCAAGACCCTCTTCTTCGACCCTGCCTTCGATCACCCTCCTTCCTCCTCTGCCCTCCCCGATCCCCGGCTTGGGTCCGAAGCACTGATTGTCCAGTGCCTTGGGATGTCCTCCCAACGTGAAAGGCGTTATACACATGTAATTTTGTTGTTGTTGTTTCTCTCCACTTCTGCTTATAATCCAGGGATCTAACATCTTATTATAGTGCTTCCATTTAAAATGCAGTGACTCGACAAGTTCGTCACGCTCTTATGTGAAACGTGCTATTGTATTCTCCCAGCACAGCCCAGCACAGCAGCCACTGAAGCTGTAATGGTTAACCTGTCAGCTGCCGATCCACTGAGCACACACCATGTGACTGTATGGAGAGGCAGAGTATTGACAAGGTGAGGGAGGTGGGGGAGGTAGAGAACTGTACAGTTATGCAGCTCTGACACGCGACAGGTGAGGTCCTGAAGCCATGATGTCATGCTGTGGGAAGGAAGCCAGGATCTTGCTGGGGGCAGGAAGCTCTCTGCAGCCACACTCCGGCTCAGGGCAACGTGTCGCCCCAGTGACTGGCTTTCCATGTGCCAGCCCTGGGAACTGCCAGAGAGAGAGGCAGAGAAGGGAGAGGGAGAGAGAGGAAGGGACAGAGAGAGGAAGGGACAGAGAGAGGACAGGATAGAGAAGGAGGGGGAGGGAGGGAGAGAGGGGGAGGTAGAGAGAGGGGCGGAGATAGAGAGAGGGACAGGGAGGCAGAGAGAGGGATGTAGAGAGACTGAGATACAAAGGGATGCAGTGAAGGATGGAGAGAGAAAGAAAGGCAGAGAGAGACAGAGAGGGAGGCAGCGAGAGCGAGTCGAAGATAGGGAGGCAGAGAGAGATAGGGAGGCAGAGAGAGATAGGGAGGCAGAGAGAGATAGGGAGGCAGAGAGAGGGACAGAGACAGAGGGAGGCAGAGAGAGTGAGGCAGTGCGGCAGTTAGAGACAGAGAGCGGAAGGTAGACAGAGAGATAGGGAGGTAGAGGGAGAGAGAGAGGGAGGCAGAGAGAGAGGGAGATACGAAGGCAGAGAGAGAAGGGGGAGAGAGAGACAGGGAGGCAGAGAGGGAGGGAAGTAGAGAGAGAGAGGTAGAGAGGGGGACAGAAAGACAGAGAGGCAGAGAGGAAGATAGAGAGAGGGGGAGGTACAGGAGGGGGCAGAGAGGGAGGTAGAGGGAGAGAGAGGAATATAGAGAGGGAGGTACAGAGGGGGGGGAGACAGATAGGGAAGCAAAGAGAGGGAGGAAGAACGGAGAGAGTGATAGCGAGAGAGGTCGAGAGAGGCAGGGAGAGAGGCAGAGAGATAGGGAGGCAGCGAGAGAGGGGGAGCAGAGAGGAGGAGGTAGCGAGAGAGGGAGAGGGGGGTAGAGAAAGAGAGGGTAGAGAGATAGGGAGGCAGTGAGAAAGGGAGAGAGATAGGGAGGCAGTGAGAAAGGGAGAGAGAGAGGGAGGCAGAGAGAGTGAGGCAGAGAGGGAGGGAAGTAGAGAGAGGGAGGCAGAGAGTGAGGGAGAGAGTGAGGGAGAGAGAGGAGGAAGTAGAGAGAGAGAGAAGGAGATAGGGAGGCGGGGGGGGGGTGGGGGGGGGGAGAGAGAGAGATAGAGAGAGGGACAGAAAGACAAAGAGAGGCAGAGAGGAAGGTACAGAGAGGGGGAGGTCCAGATGGGGGCAGAGAGATGGGGGTAGAGAGAGGTAGAGGGAGAGAGGGGGTACAGAGGGAGGGAGACAGATGGGGAGGCAAAGAGAGGGAGGAAGAAAGGAAGGGAAGGAGGGATAGAGAGAGTGATAGAGAGGGAAGTAGAGAGAGAGGACTAGAGAGGCAGGGAGAGGGGGAGGCAGAGAGATAGGGAGGCAGCGAGAGACGGTAGAAAGAGAGGGAGAGGCAGAGAAAGGGGGATGCAGAGAGAGAGAGGGAGGGAGGCAGAGAGAGGAGGTAGCAAGAGAGGGAGCCAGAAGAGGTAGAGAGAGGGAGGCAGAAAGAGAGAGAGAGGCAGAGAAGAGGGGGAGGTGGAGAGTGAGGGAGAGAGAGAGGGAGGGAGAGAGGAGGGATGGGTTTGAGAGTTCATTATATACAGAGCGGTGTCTGGTCGACTCAGCCTGTGTGCTCTCCCACACAGAGCGAGGAAAACGCTTACACGGGTATTGCTGGGTTCACATTCCAGCCTTTTATTCTCAGACAAAGAGATTTCTGCCTGTCAATAGATTGAGGCTGATGAGTGCACTATGGCTCATTCATTGTGTGTGTGGTGCTGCCTGGCACTGGGCGCTGTGTGACTGTGGGTGGGGGGAGTGAGGGTTGGGAGGGGGCAGAGAGCAGTGATTAACACTGACCAGTGGCTGACCCAGTGCTTCTTCTTGTCTCTCGGATTGACCCGGGTAATTGTGACTAACCTCTGCCCTTGTACCCCAGGAAACCGTGTCAGTGTCGGTGCCGAGTGCCCACACCCAGTGCTTGGGGAGAGGAGTGCGACTGGGGGGCGGAGGGGGTCGTGCCCACAGGCAGGGGGGTCTGACGGACTGTGAGGCCGAGCTGGCACACAAGCTGAAGAACCTGGAGATTGAGAGCAGGCTCCGTGGGCAGCAGGAACTGCCCCCCCGCAGGCTGCCCCTCGACCCCTCCTGCCTGCTAACCCCCCCCAACACCCCGCAGGGGCCTGAGCCCCCCGACTCCGAGCCGGAGCATGGGGTGGGGGCCTGCAGGAGGCTGCTCAACGGGGAAAATGACGAAGAACCCAAGTCTAGGGGTCCGAAAGGTGAGCACTCAAAGTGGAGGGGGAGAGTGGCTGGTAGAGTTGAGGGGGGGCAGCGCTCAGAGAATGGGGGGTGGTCAGGGCTAAGGGTTGGGGAGTCAGGGCTCAGGGTAGAGGGAGTCAGGGTTCAGGGTTGGGGGAGTCAGGGCTCAGGGTTGGGGGAGTCAGGGCTCAGGGTTGGGGGAGTCAGGGCTCAGGGTGTGGGGGAGTCAGGGCTCAGGGTGTGGGGGAGTCAGGGCTCAGGGTTGGGGGAGTCAGGGCTCAGGGTATGGGGCAGTCAGGGCTCAGGGTGGGTTATTAGGGTTAGGGTTGGGGGAGTCAGGGCTCAGGGTGTGGGGGAGTCAGGGCTCAGGGTGTGGGGGAGTCAGGGCTCAGGGTGTGGGGGAGTCAGGGCTCAGGGTGTGGGGGAGTCAGGGCTCAGGGTGTGGGGGAGTCAGGGCTCAGGGTATGGGGCAGTCAGGGCTCAGGGTGGGGGATTAGGGTTAGGGTTGGGGGAGTCAGGGCTCAGGGTGTGGGGGAGTCAGGGCTCAGGGTGTGGGGGAGTCGGGGCTCAGGGTGTGGGGGAGTCGGGGCTCAGGGTGTGGGGGAGTCGGGGCTCAGAATGTGGGGGAGTCAGGGCTCAGGGTGTGGGGGAGTCAGGGCTCAGGGTGTGGGGGAGTCAGGGCTCAGAGTGTGGGGGAGTCAGGGCTCAGGGTGTGGGGGAGTCAGGGCTCAGGGTATGGGGCAGTCAGGGCTCAGGGTGGGGGATTAGGGTTAGGGTTGGGGGAGTCAGGGCTCAGGGTGTGGGGGAGTCAGGGCTCAGGGTGTGGGGGAGTCAGGGCTCAGGGTGTGGGTGAGTCGGGGCTCAGGGTGTGGGGGAGTCAGGGCTCAGGGTGTGGGGGAGTCAGGGCTCAGGGTGTGGGGGAGTCAGGGCTCAGAATGTGGGGGAGTCAGGGCTCAGGGTGTGGGGGAGTCAGGGCTCAGGGTTGGGGGGGGGCAGCTCTCAGCTTGTGGGGGAGTCAGGGCTCAGGGTGGGGGGGTTGGAGTCACGACACTGCTCTCTGTGCTGGCAGTGAACTCTTGCTTAGCAGCTGCACTATCAAAACAGAAGCTTGGTTCTTCAGGTTGATGTGTCAGGGAATATTTCTGGGGCCGGGGACACTGAGCCCCCAAACCAGTGCCAGGGGAAAGTCTGATGTGTGTCTCCCTCACTCACTCCCCCTACACTATGTTGCCGCAGGATGTTGGGCTGCCCTGGAGGAAGAGGAGGTTTTCACGGTGGAGCTGGAACGGGCGCCTCGTGGCCTGGGCCTGGCGTTAGTGGATGGGCTGGTGAGTTCCCATTTACACAGAGCAGCTCAGCTCAGCACTGAGTGTAGCCAGGCAGCCTCCTGTGTATCTACACTGATTGTGTATCTGCACTCTCTGTATCTACACTCTCTGTGATTCTACACTCTCTGTGTATCTGCACTCTCTGTGTATTTGCACTCTCTGTATATCTACACACACTGTGTATCTACGCTCTCTGTGTATCTGCACTCTCTGTGTATCTACACTCTCTGTGTATCTGCACACTCTGTGTATCTGCACTCTCTGTGTATCTACACTCTCTGTGTATCTGCACACTCTGTGTATCTGCACTCTCTGTGTACCTGCACTCTCTGTGTACCTACACACTCTGTGTATCTATACACTCTGTGTATCTACACTCTCTGTGTATCTACACTCTCTGTGATTCTACACTCTCTGTGATTCTACACTTTCCGTGTATCTACACTCTCTGTGTATCTGCACTCTCTGTGTACCTGCACTCTCTGTGTACCTGCACTCTCTGTATCTACACTCTCTGTGTATCTACAATCTCTGTGTATCTACACTCTCTGTGTATGTACACTCTCTGTGCATCTGCACACTCTGTGGAGTCCTGTAGCTCAGTGGTTAGAGCACTCGCTTTGCAAGCGAGAGACCTGAGTTCAATCCCCGGCAGGTCAGGGCCAAACCTTGGGCAAGTTTCCTTACTCCACACAGAGCCCTAATAATAATAATCCCTCCAAAACCAACAACAATAATAAATTGGTCATTTTCAATCCACGACTGTTTGTGGGACATTGCTGTGCGCAATTGGCTGCCGCGTTTGCCCACAAATATGCAGTCAATTCACTTTACAGTATTTTCTGTGAAGCGCTTTGGGACGTCGAGAAGATGTGAAAAGCGCTATATCAAATGCAAGGATTATTATTATTATTATTATCTACACACTCTGTGTATCTACACTCTCTGTGTATCTACACACTCTGTGTATCTGTACAGTCTCTGGGTATCTGCACTCTGTGTATCTACACTCTCTGTGTATCTAAGTGAACAACAACAACAAAATTACATTGGTATAACACCTTTCACGTTGGAGGATGTCCCAAGACCCTGGACAAACAGAGTTATGGACCCGAGCTGGGGGTCGGGATCGGGGAGGGTTGAGGGCAGGGCGGGAAGCAGGGAGATCGAAAGCATGGTTGAAGAGGAGGGTCTTGAGATGGATCTTGAAGGTGGCAGGGGAGGGGGCGAGGCGGAGGGACTGCTGGAGCAGAGGGTGGGGGCAGAGTGCCGGAAGGCCCGTCCGCCAATAGTGGAGCGAACGAGGTGGGGGCTGTGAAGCAGGCTGGAGTTGTGGAGGTGGGGGAAAGCAGAGTGTCATGGCGCAGATGTGGGGTAGAAAGGATAGTTGAGGGTCAAACAAGACCCCATGGTTCGGGACTGGCTCAGTGAGGTGGAGTGTGCAACCATGGATGGTAATGCTGTCAGCGCCTGAGGTGAGGAGGTGCTGACTGGAGCCCATCAGGAGACTCTTGCTTTTGTTGATGTTCAACTGAAGAAAGTTCGCTCTCATCCAGGACTTGATGTCTGACAGACATTCTGTCAGGACAGCAGTGGGTTCTGGATCGAGGGTGGAGGCAGAGAGAGAGAGTTGGGCGTCATCTACATATATGTGGAAGTTGACCCCATGTCTGCGGATGATGTCACTAAGAGGGAGCATATAGATATTGAAGAGGAGGGGACCAAGGACAGAGCCCTGAAGGACACCGCACGAGACGGTGCGGGGGCTGGAGGAGAAACCATTTGTGGAGTATCAGTACAGTTTCTGTGTATCGACAAACTCTGTATCTACACTCTCTGTATATATCTACACTCTCTATATATCTACACTCTCTGTGTATCTACACTCTCTATATATCTACACTATCTGTATATATCTACACTCTGTGTGTATCTACACTCTCTATACAACAACAACAACAACAACAAGATTCCATTTATAGAGCGCCTTTCACGTCAGGAGGACGTCCCAAGGCGCTGCACAGTTGGGTCATGACCCGAGCAGGGGGGAAATGGTCAGGGTGAGGGGAGGGAAGGGAGGGAGAGAGGAGGGGGAAATGGTCAGGGTGAGGGGAGGGAAGGGAGGGAGCGAGGAGGAGGAAGAGAGTCGAGAGGGGAGCTGAAGGCACGGTCAAAGAGAAAGGTTTTGAGACCGGCCTTGAAGGAGGAAAGGGAGGAAGCAAGGCGAAGGCACTGGGGGATGGAGTTCCAGAGCCTCGGGGCTGAGAGGCTGAAGGCCCGACCACCGATAGTAGGGCGGTTGGGGCGGGGGACGTGGAGCAGACCGGAGCCAGAGGAACGGAGGGTACGGGCAGGTAGGTAGGGGGATAGTAGGTTGGAGAGGTAGGAGGGAGCAAGGCCGTGAATGGCCTTGTAGGTGAGGATGAGGATCTTGAAATCAATCCTCTGGGGGATGGGGAGCCAGTGGAGGCGAGCGAGGGTGGGAGTGATGTGGTCCCGAAGCCTGGTGCGGGACAGTACACGAGCTGCAGAGTTCTGAATGACCTGCAGCTTGTGGAGGGAGGTGGCGGGAAGGCCGGCGAGGAGAGAGTTCCCATAGTCCAGCCTTGAGGTGACAAAGGCGTGAACCAGGGTTTCAGCAGCGTGAGGGGTGAGGTAGTGCCGTAATCTGGCGATATTCCGGAGGTGATGGAAGGCGGTGCCAGTTGTGGTGCGGATGTGAGGGAGAAAGGACAGCTCAGGGTCGAACAAAACGCCGAGGTTCCTGACTGGCTTTGAGAGGTGGAGAGTGCAGCCTTGGATGCTGATGGTGTCAGCGCCTGAGGTGCGGAGGCGCTGACGTGAGCCAATCAGGAGGGCCTCGGTTTTTCGCACGTTGAGCTGAAGAAAGTTGTCTCTCGTCCAGGACTCGATGTCGGACAGGCAGGCTGTCAGGACATCGGTGGTCGTGGAGTTGAGAGTAGAGGAGGAAAGGTAGAGTTGGGTGTCATCCGCATACATGTGGAAGTTAACCCCATGTTTGCGGATGATGTCACCAAGGGGGAGCATATAGAGGGTGAAGAGGAGGGGACCGAGGACAGAGCCCTGAGGGACACCACATGAGACAGTACGGGGGGTGGAGGAGAAGCCATTCGTTGAGACGAAGTGAAGACGGTGGGAAAGGTAAGAGCTAAACCATTCAAGGACAGTGCCTTGAAGGTTGAGGTGGGAGGACAAGCGGTGGAGTAGGATAGCGTGGTCGACCGTATCGAATGCTGCCGATAGGTCGAGGAGGACGAGGAGACAGAGGGAGCCCTGGTCACAGATGGTCAGGATATCATTGGTGACCTTGACCAGGGCAGTTTCTGTGCTATGAGCAGCACGGAAACCTGACTGAAGGGGTTCAAAAAGAGAATGGGTGGAGAGGAAAGAGCGCAGTTGGGAGGCGACAACTCTTTCCAAGACCTTGGAGAGAAAGGGGAGGTTGGAGATGGGCCGGTAGCTTGATAGCTGCGACGCATCAAGGGAGGGTTTTTTCAGGGTGGGCGTGATGATGGCAGTTTTTAATGGAATGGGGACAGAGCCAGAGGAGAGGGACAGGTTTATGATGTCAGTGATGTGTGGGGCAAGAAAATGGAGCTGGGAGATAAGGAGTGGAGTGGGGATGGGGTCAAGGGAGCAGGTGGTTGGTTTTAGGGATAGGATGAGTTCAGTGACAGAGGGTGGGGAAACGGGTACGAAGGTGTGTAGGGGAGGATGGGTAGGAGTCGGAGTGTGGGAGGGAAGGGGTGGGTGGTGGGTGGAAGTTGGAGGGGAAGTGACCGCGGAGCGGATTCCCTTGATCTTGGATTCAAGGAAATCCAGCATCTCCTCGCAGTGAAGGTTGGAGGAGATGACCTGCGCGGGGTGGCGGGGGGGACGGAGGAGTCGGGATGTGGTGGAAAACAGTAGCCTGGGGTTGTTCTTCGCCTCCAGGATTATCCTGGAGTAGAAGGACGACTTGGCCGAGGCTAGAGTGGAGCGGTAAATTTTGAGGAGGTCCAGCCAGATTTGTCGGTGGACCGTTAAGCCGGATTTGACAAAGGTGCGCTCAGCAGCCCGCACCTGGCATTTCAGTGAGCGGAGGTGGGTGGTGTACCAGGGGGAGGAGCGGGAGTAGGAGACAGTGCGGGAAGTGATGGGGGCAAGAGTATCGAGTGTGGAGGAGAGGATATTGTGGAGGAGGGAGAGAGGAGAAGAGGGGTCGGTGAGGGTTGAAGGCCAGAGGGAGAGGAGTTCAGAGGACTCCAAGGCATCGGTTAGGGATTGTGGGGGTAACTTCTTCCAAGGGCGGTAGAAGATGGTGGTGGGTCTGGTGGAGGTGGGGAGGGGGGTGGAGGTGGTGAAGGAGATGAAGTAGTGGTCGGAGATGGCCTTGTCGGTAATAGTGACATCCGAGACACTGAGGCCCCGGGTGATCACCAAATCGAGTGGGTGGCCGTGACTGTGAGTGGGGGAGTTTATGTGTAGGGAAAGGTTGAGTGAGGAGAGCAGGGAAGAGAAGTCTGTGGAGATGGAGCAGGAGGGGGTGAAGTGTAGGTTAAAGTCGCCCAGGATGATGAGGCGATCAGAGGAGAGGCAAAGAGATGTGAGGAGTGTTGAAATGTCAGAGATGAAGGTGGGAGAGGTTTTAGGGGGCCGGTAGAGGAGGAGGATTTTAAGGGAGAGGAATGAGGGGTGGGAGAGGGTGAGGTGCTCGAAGGAGGGGAAAGAGCCAGAGGAGTAGGGGGATAGGGCAAGTGGTGTCCTTGAGATAAGGGCAACACCACCGCCACGGCGGTTGGGGCGGGGGATGTGGTGGGAGGTGTAGCCGGGTGGCGTGGCCTCCGTGAGGGGGAAGGTGTCGCCTGGGGTGAGCCACGTTTCTGTCAAGGCCATGATATCAACGTTCTCATCAAGGATGAGATCGTTGATGACCAGGGCCTTGTTGCAGAGGGAGCGGACATTTTGCAGTCCGATGTGGAGGGAGCGGTTGACAGAAGGGTGTGTGGGAGGGGAGGGGGGTCCAGGTTGTGAGGCAGGGGTGGGGGAGATGGGGATGAGGGAGGAGAGGTTGACTCCCCGGGTCTGTGTCCGGGGTGGCTGGCGAGAGTGGTGGGGAATGGGGCAGTCGGTGTGGCTGCTGCTGGACAGCCAACGCCGAGTGCCACGGTGAGCCCGGCGGAGGATTCCCAGGCTGGAACAGAGGGAGGTTGTGGGAGGGTCAAGTGGGGATAGAAGACGAGAGGGACGGAGAGAGAGGAGGAGAGAGCGGGAGAGATGCAGAGGGGGGAGGGTTTGGGGGGAGAGAGGAGGGGGGCGGGAGGGAGGGGGTGAGGGGGCTCGGGTCAAAGCGGCAGCCATAGTGCGCACGCGGGGACCGGGAGCGAGCGGTCAGGTGGATGGCATTATCCCGCAGATTGGGGCATCGAACCCAACAGGACCATAGTGGGCTCTGATGTGAGCCCTGGGGGGTGGGGGGGGGGCGCGGAGTTTTTTTTTTTTTTTTTGTTTTTTTTGTGCGCGCGCACTCACCTGAAAACTAATCTATGACGTCGCAGTTCCCCCGCTCCCTCCCCTCCCCTGCCTAGCTGCACTCGCTCCGGCGTCGAGTTTAAGTACCTGGGTCAGTAGGCCCAGGCTCCTCCCCGCGCTGTCCTGCTGCCGCTCCCCGTATATATCTACACTCTCTGTGTATCTACACTCTCTATATATCTACACTCTCTGTGTATCTACACTCTCTGTATATATCTACACTCTCTGTGTATCTACACACTTTGTGTATCTACACTCTCTATATATCTACACTCTCTATATATCTACACTCTCTGTGCATCTACACTCTCTGTATATATCTACACTCTCTGTGTATCTACACTCTCTATATATCTACACTCTATATAGCTACACTCTCTGTGTCTCCACACACTCTGTGTATCTACACTCTATATATCTACACTCTCTATCTACACTCTCTGTGATTCTACACTCTCTGTGATTCTACACTCTCTGTGTATCTGCGCACTCTGTGTATCTGCACACTCTGTGTATCTACACTCTCTGTGATTCTACACTCTCTGTGATTCTACACTCTTTGTGTATCTACACAATCTGTGTATCTATGCTCTCTGTGTATCTGCGCTATATGTACATCTACACTCTCTGTCTATCTGCACTCTCTGAATCTACTTTCTCTGTATATCTACGCTCCCTGTGTATCTATGCTCTCTGTATATATCTACACTCTCTGTGTATCTACGCACTGTGTATCTGCACAATCGCTGTGATTCTAAACTCTCTGTGTATCTACACTATTTGTGTATCTACGTTCTCTGTGTATCTACAAGCCCTATGTATCTACACGCTCTGTTTACCTGCACGCTTTGTGTATCTACACGCTCTGTGTATCCAAACGCGCTGTGTATCTACATGCTCTGTGTATCTACACGCTCTGTGTATCTACACGCTCTGTGTATCTACACGCTCTGTGTATCTACACATTCTGTGTATCTACACTTTCTGTATATGTACACTCTCTGTGCATCTACAGTCTATGTGCATCTACACTCTCTGTGTATCTACAGTCTCTGTGTATCTACGCTCTTGTGTACCTACGCTCTCTGTGTATCTACGCTCTCTGTGTATCTACACGCTCTGTGTATCTACGCTCTCTGTGTATCTACCCTCTCTGTGTATCTACTCTCTCTGTGTACTTACGTTCTCTGTTTATTTACACTCTCTGTGTATCGACACGCTCTGTGTATCTACACTTCCTGTGTATCTACAGTCTCTGTGTATCCACGCTCTCTGTATCTACACTCTTTGTATCTACACTCTCTGTGTGCCTACACTCTCTGTGTTTCTACACGCTCTGTGTACCTACATGCTCTGTGTACCTACATGCTCTGTGTACCTACACGCTCTGTGTACCTGCACGCTCTGTGTACCTGCACGCTCTGTGCACCTGCACACTCTGTGTGCCTGTACGCTCTGTGTACCTGCATGCTCTGTGTATCTACACTCCCTGTGTATCTACACTCTCTGTATGTATCTACACTTTCTGTATATATCTACACGCTCTGTGTATCTACACACTGTGTATCTACACAATTGCTGTGATTCTACATGTTCTGTGTATCTACATTCTCTGTGTATCTACATTCTCTGTGTATATACACCCTCTGTGTGCCTACACTCTCTGTGTACCTGCACGCTCTGTGTAGCTGCATGCTCTGTGTAGCTGCATGCTCTGTTTAACTACACTCCCTGTGTATCTACACTCCCTGTGTATCTACACTCCCTGTGTATTTACACTCCCTGTGTATGTACACTCCCTGTCTGTCTACACTCTCTGTGTGTCTACACGCTGTGTACCTGCACGCTCTGTGTACTTGCACTCCCTGTGTATCCACACTCCCTGTGTAGCCACACTCCCTGTGTAGCCACACTCCCTGTGTAGCCACACTCCCTGTGTAGCCACACTCTCTGTGTAGCCACACTCTCTGTGTAGCCACACTCTCTGTGTATCTACACTCCTTGTGTATATAATAATAATAATAATCCTCGCATTTGATATAGCGCTTTTCACGTCGGGAGGACGTCCCAAAGCGCTTCACAGAACACACTGTAAAGTGAATTGACTGTATATTTGTGGGCGAACGCGGCAGCCAATTGCGCACAGCAATGTCCCACAAACAGTCGTGGATTGAAAATGACCAATTTATTATTGTTTTTGGTTTTGGAGGGATTATTATTAGGCTCTGTGTGGAGTAAGGAAACTTGCCCAAGGTTTCGCCCTCTGCCTGGAATTGAACTCAGGTCTCTCACTTGCAAAGCGAGTGCTCTAACCACTGAGCTACAGGACTCCACATATGTACACTACATATGTACACTCCCTGTGTATTTACACTCCCTGTGTGTCTACACGCTCTGTGTACCTGCACTCGCTGTGTAGCCACACTCGCTGTGTAGCCACACTCCCTGTGTATCTACGCTCCCTGTGTATCTACACCCTCTGTGTATCTACACCCTCTGCGTATCTACACCCTCTGCGTATCTGCAGGCTCTGTGTATCTGCAGTCTCTGTGTATCTATGCTCTCTGTGTATCTACGCTCTCTGTATTTCTACGCGCTCTGTGTACCTACGCGCTCTGTGTATCAACACGCTCTGTGCATCTACGCGCTCTGTGCGTCTACGCGCTCTATGCGTCTACGGGCTCTGTGCATCAACGCGCTCTGTGCATCAACGCGCTCTGTGTTTCTACACTCTGTGTGTATCGACGCTCTGTGTGTATCGACGCTCTGTGTGTATCGACGCTCTGTGTGTGTGTATGTGCAGCTTCGCTGATAAGAGAAACAATGCCCAACAAATGTAGTTCCATCACATATTACCGGGAAAGGGCTGCAGTCGAACAGTGACGGTCACAGTGGCCCTGAACTGCCGTCTCACCCCGTCCCTCACACAGCAACAACCTGCAGCTCCCCTCCCCGACTGCTCCCCCGCACCCCCCCCCGGGCTGCTCCCCCGCCCCCCGACTGCTCCCCCGCACCCCCCCCCGGGCTGCTCCCCCCCCCCCCCGCGCTGCTCCCCCCACCCCGGCTCCCCCTGCCCCCCCGACTGCTCCCCCACCCCCCGACTGCTCCCCCGCCCCCCGGGCTGCTCCCCTCACCCCGGCTCCCCCCGCCCCCGACTGCTCCCCCGTCCCCCCCCCCCCGGGCTGCTCCCCCCGCACTGTAGCGCTGACACCAGTGGCGCCAGTGACAGTGACGAGTGTTTGTGTCCCTGATGGCCAGAGAACCCCTCTGAGTGTGAGTGGCGTCTACATCAGGTCTCTGGTGCCGGACTCGCCCGCGGCCGCCTGCAGCCGCCTGTCCCCGGGGACCGTATCCTGGCCGTGAACGGGACCAGCCTGGTCGGCATGGACTACCACAGGTTAGTGCTGGGGGGGGGGGGACTACCACAGGTTAGTGCTGGGGGGGGGACTACCACAGGTTAGTGCTGGGGGGGGGGACTACCGCAGGTTAGTGGGGGGGACTACCACAGGTTAGTGCTGGGGGGGAGGGGGGGGACTACCACAGGTTAGTGCTGGGGGGGACTACCACAGGTTAGTGCTGGGGGGGAAGGGGGGGGACTACCACAGGTTAGTGCTGGGGGGGTGGGGATTACCTGAGTTTAGTGCCACATGGCACAGAGCAGAATATTTCAGCAGAGTTATAGAGTTACACAGAGAGATAAGATAGATCATGGAGATGGGCCATTGGGAGTTTGTCTCCGGATGTGCCTCAGGTATCACTGGGTCCCTCTGTAAACTGTCAGGAATGTTTCTGAAGTTGCTGGATGGCGTACGGCCTGCAGGAGCGGACCCACCTTCAGCCTTTCCTTTAACCTCTGTTCAATGTGTTTCCCTGTGGATTGCAGCGGCCGAGACCTAATCAGAATGTCTGGGAACAAGCTGCGTCTGCTGGTCGCAAAGTCTGAAGTGCAAGTGGCCACAAAGGTGTTAGAGACGGGTTGCTAGATGCAGTGGTTAAGAGCCCAGGATTCTGTGTCAAAGCCCCAGAGACGCGTCACACAGACTACGAGTCCAGTTCTACATTGGTTATTTAAATAAAGTTACTGTGCTTAGCCCGGGATTGTGCACCAAAGGCCAAAGACGTGAGTGGGAGGTTGACTTAACGACACGGTGCTGGTGTTGAGCCCTGGCAGAATGTAAGGGGGGTGTTTGTGCTGAGCGGACTCCTCCCCCCAGAGGTTTGGTGCCATAGCATTAGTGGACATTGTGTGGGATTGTTTGAAGCAGCACAAATCCTGCTGTTACCTCAACTGTAGGGGTCGGGTGTGGGGGTTCCCGTCACTCACTCCCTACCAGTGAATTGTCAAGTGAAGCCGCGCTGAAGAAGCAGTGTTATTCTCTGTGACGGGAGCGAGCCGGACAGACTGTTTTGACGTTTGGTTTCCTGTTGCTTCTTATTACAAATGTTCATCTCTGTTATTGTTAATGTTTACCTGGAGCAAGGGCTCAGCCTCTCTCCGCCAAGTCCCTGCTCACAATAAAGTCTCAGCACTTGTTAGCCTCCAGCCTTCCAATAATAATCCTTCCATTTGATATAGCGCTTTTCACATCTTCTAGATGTCTCCCAACCAGTGAATTGTCAAGTGAAGCGGCTTCACGTTGCTGGATTGTAAGGTCATTTGTAACTACTATTTAATCAGTGTGAGCAACACCCAGTCACAAGTCACAAGAAAGATAGTAAATAATGTACATGATGTTGGGAAAGAATCAAACAGCTCACACAAGCCCCAGCCCCAACCTCAACCCCAGCCCCAGCACCAAATCCAGCCTCAGCCCCAACCCCAGCACCAACACCAGCCCCAGCACCAGCCCCTAACACCAGCCCCCAACCCCAAACCCAGCCCAAACACGAACTCCAGCACCAACACCAGCCCCAGCACCAACACCAGCACCAGCCTCAGCCCCCCAGCCTCCCAATCGCAGCACCAGCTCCAGCACCAACCCCAGCAGCAGCACAGGCTCAATGGGTTTAGAGACTCCATGCTGCAATTCCCATTGTTGGGAAGGATGAGCAGTCCTGTGGAAACGAACATTCATGGAGCAGAGACAGTGTAACTGGGTTCCAGGGGTGAAGAAAGACAGCATCATTGTCTTGTGGGGCTTCACAAGTAAACTTTCATTGAGTAGTGACTTTTTTTATAGGCAGACGGTGTTTCTCCAATCAGCATCTACTTCCTGGCCTTAGAGAGAAACAACAACAACTTGTATTTATACAGGGCCCCTCACGCAGATCGCTTGACAGCAATGGAGCACGCCGCCGAGCCGGGGGGAGGGGGAGGTGACTGTAGGTAAGGTCGAATACGAAGTCTTCAGGTGCGACTGGAAAATGGGGATGGGACAAAGCGGAGGGATAGAAGAAGAGTGTTCCATAGTTTGGGGGCATAGTGGCTAAAAGCGCAATAACCAATGGTGAAAGGAGGGCACGAGGTACATGCAGGAGGCTGGAGCCAGTCAAGTGGAGGCAGCGGGTTTGGGGGGTAAGTAGGTCGGAGCGGTAGGGAGGTGCCAGGGCATGAAGGGGTTTGTAAACGAGTGAGAGGATCTTGAAATAGATCCATTCAACAATAGGCCTTGGAACAATGTGAAGACAACACATTGGTGTAACTCTAAGGAAACATTTGCCTTATGAAGAGAGGGAGAGGAGTAACCCTGTGAACCCTGTTTGTGTGAACTCAGCACAACCTCCTGAAATTGGCCCCCAATTTGCATCCTCAACATGGAGGCCATGGGACATTTGAGACGTCACACCAAGAGGGAGTGTTTTGTATCTGAGTAGAAGACAGTGCTCTCAGGAGGCACTATTCGCCCCTGTGGCCGTTGCTGACTCGTGGTGAACATCCAACCAGAGACTGGCTGCCACATGACGTCACATCCACCCCCCCCTTTGAATCTCTCAGCCTGGACTCACTGGGACTATAAGATTGTCCCCCTCTCCCTGTGATGATTCATGCCAGTGGGCTAACCATGTCTCGCTGACCTTCCCCGCCCCCACCCCCCCAAGTCTCAGCGTGCGCATTTTGGCAGCCGCCACTGACCCGAGCTGCTTATAATAATAATATAATCTTCCCATTATGCTCCCAACCTTTCCTCAACCCTCCTTACGCCCGCTCGGTCCCACATTCCCACCAGCCTCCCCGACGCCTATTCCTGCTTGACCGGCTCACAGCCTCCCTCTGCTCCAGCCTCTGAATCCTCCATCTGGTCCACCATTTCAGACGCCACTGACTATCCAACAGCAGCCACTCTGACTGCCCCATCTGCCATTCTTGCCGCAAGGCCCATTGATCCCTGACCACGGGGCCAACCTCGCCTCCCTCATCCACATCTCCATCCTCCCGGTCAATCCTCCCCCCTCTCCCCACATTTCACCACCAACTGTCCCCTCCCCATACAAAATGTCTGCTCCCTCTCTAATAAAAGACTCACCGTCCAGGACCTCATTCTCAACAAAAATATCGACATTCTCGCCCTCACTGAAACCTGGGTCACTCCAGGTGACACCTTCCCCCTGACAGAGGGCACACCACGCGGCTACACCTTCCATCATGCCCCTCGACCTAACCATCTCCCATCTCAGGGTGGAGTCCTGTAGCTCAGTGGTTAGAGCGCTTACCTCACAAGCGAGAGCCCTGGGTTTGATTCCCGGCAGGGCAAAACCTTGGGCAAGTTTCCTTACTCCACACGCCTGATAATAATCCCTCAAGAAAAAACAATAATAATTTGGTCACTTCAATCCACAACTGTTTGTGGGACACTGCTGTGCGCAATTGCGTATTTCACCCACAAAAATGCAGTCAATTCACTTTACAGTATATTCTGTGAAGCACTTTGAGATGTTTAGAAGACCTGAAAAGCGCAATATCAAATGCAAGGATTATTATTATTATTATCTCCCGGTCTCCGCTCGGCCGATCCCCTTACTCCTCTGGAACCTTCACTTCCTTTGAACACCTTACGCTTAACCGTCCCTCCAAACGTTCCCTCAAAATTCTCCTCATCTATCACGCCCCATCAAGCCCTTTCCCACCTTCATTTCCGACATCTCCATCCTCCTATCTTCCCTCTCCCTCAGCTCCGAATGCCTCCTTGGCAACTTCAACCTTCGCTTCACCCCCTCCTGCTCTACTGACTTTTCCTCTATTTCCTCCCTCAAACTCTCCCTTCATATCCACTCCGCCACCCACGTCCGCAGTCACCCCCTTGACCTGGTAATCACTCGGGGCCTCACCGTTTTGGACCTCACCATTATTGACAAAGCTATCTCGGACCATCACTTTATCTCCCTTAACTCCTCAATCCCTCTCCCCACCACCATCCAACCCATCTCCATCTCCTACCGCCCCTGGAAAAAAATCTCCCACCCCTTTCCTTTCCACTGCCTTGGGGTCATCTGAGCTCCTCCCCCTCTGGGCTTCCTCCCATAATGACCTATCCTCCTCGGTCACTCTTCTCCACAGCTCCCTCTCCACCTCTCTTGATTCCCTTGCTCCCCTTTCTTCCCAAACCATCTCCTACCCGCATAAGTCACTATGGTACACCAGCCACCTCTGCTCCCCTAAAGCACAGATGCATTCCGCTGAATGCACCTGACTTAAATCGAACTTAATAGTCCAGCGGAAGATCTGGCTGGACCTTATCAAATTTTACCACTCTGCCCTCGCCTCCGCTAAATCGTCGTTCTACTCCAAGACAATCTTGGAGGCCAAGGATAATCCCAGGCTCCTCTTCCACATCACCAACCAGCTCCTCCGCCCACCCTCTTATGCCTCACCAATCCTCACCTACAATGCCAACTGCGAGGCAATGCTGGACCTCGAATCCAAAGTTGAGGGATCTGCTCAGCTACCTCTGCCCTTCTATCTACTACCCTCTCATCTCTCTCTCACACCCTGGCCCCTACCATCCCTCCCCCCACACCTTCGAACCTGTCTCCCACACCACCACTATACCACGCCTGAAACCGACCATCTGTTCCCTTGACCCCATCCTTACCCCTCTCCTTACCCCCCAGCTCCACCTCCTTCCCCTCTACTCACTGACATCATAAATCCTACCCTGTCCACTGGTACTGTTCCCACCCCTTTAAAAACGGCCGTCATCACTCCTATCCCTAAAAAACCCTCCCTGGACCCATCCCTGCTCTCAAACTACAGCCTCATCTCCAACCTCTCTTTGGAATGAGTTGTTGCTTCCCAGCTTCATTCCTTCCTCTCCAGCCACTCCCTTCATGAACCCCTCCAATCAATCCATCTGCGATCAGGGCTCCTTCTGCCTCTCACCCATTTCTACCTCTCTGCCTCCATCCTTGACTCCAAGGACCCACTGCTGTCTTGCATGAATGTCTGTCAGACATCAAGTCCTGGATGAGAGCGAACTTTCTTCAGTTCAACTTCAACAAGACCGAGGCTCCTGAATGGCTCCCATCAGCGCCTCCTCACCTCAGGCGCTGACAGCATCAGCATCCATGGGGCTCACTCCACCTTGCTAAACCAGTCCAGAACCTTGTTTGACCCTCAACTATCCTTTCTACCCCACATCCATGCCTTCCCCACCTCCGCAACATGACCAGCTTCCACCACTGTCTCACACCGCAGGCCCCCAAAACCCTCATACACGCATTCATAACATCGAGGCTCAACTTTGCATTCATAACATCGAGGCTTGTCGGCCTCCCCAACTCCTCCCTCCAGAGGCTGCAGATGATCCAAAACTGCAGCCCGTGTCCTCTCCCACACTAGGCTCTGTGACCCCATCACCCTCATCCTCGCCAGACTCAACTGTATCCTCTGTCACACAGAGGATACAGTTCAAGATCCTGGTCCTCACCTTCAAAGCCCCCTATGGCCTTGCTCCCCACTACCTCTGTGAACTCCTAATCCCTACCATCCTGTGGAGTCCAGGAGTGGAGTCCTGTAGCTCAGTGGTTAGAGCACTCGCCTTGCAAGCGAGACACCTGAGTTCAATTCCAGGCAGAGGGCGAAACCTTGGGCAAGTTTCCTTACTCCACACAGAGCCTAATAATAATCCCTCCAAAACCAAAACAATAATAAATTGGTCATTTTCAATCCACGACTGTTTGTGGGATATTGCTGTGCGCAATTGGCGGCCGCGTTCGCCCACAAATATACAGTAATTCACTTTACAGCATATTCTGTGAAGCGCTTTGAGACGTTGAGAAGATGTGAAAAGCGCTATATCAAATGCAAGGATTATTATTATTATTATTAATTATCCTGCCTGATTCCTCCGCTCAGCTGGCTCCAGCCTGCTACACGTCCCCCGCTACTGGCGGGCGGGCCTTCAGCCACTCTGCCCCCACCCTCTGGAACTCCATCCTGCAGTCCCTCCGCCTTGCCCCCTCCCTTGCTTCCTTCAAGACCCATCTCAAGACCCTCCTCTTTGACTATGCTTTCGATTTCCCTGCTTTCCCCCTTGCCCTCCACCCTCCTCATTCCGATCCCCAGCTCGGCTCCGAAATACCGACTGTCCAGCGGGTTGGGATGTC